TAGAGGAAATATGGGTGCGTGTAATCTACAATCAATCAATCATCATACAAACAATTTGAATTGCTAAAGTTACATACATCCCACTTCTCCTTCACCAAATCCTCCTCCTACATGTTCTATAAAATTTATATTTTTAATTAAAAAAGGCAACCACCTTTATATATATCATCAACCCACATCACACACACCACACCCTTCTTCCCGCATTTTTACTTTCAAAAAAAAGTCAAAAGCGATGCTCTACTCTGATCTATCCCGAACTTTTGATCCGTCGTTGTACAACGGTAACAACGAATTCGATCCGTGTTTGTGTTTCATCCTCCCGTGGCACCGCCAGTACACCAACAATATCACCGCCACCAATCCAAGTTGCACCGCCCATCTGTCATTTTTTATTTTTTTAAATCCAACAAAACAGCAACATTACTTGCGTATATCTTGCAATAAAAATCCAATTGCAAGATTTTTGAGGTTGAAAATTAGTAGTAAATTTATGTATTTATTTACCTGTCTAAATCAAGAATAGGGCTGTAAACAAGTGTCTCCCAGGTTGCCACAATGGCATGCCACATAGGATTGTAATAAAGAGACTCGGGTGACCAAAACATTCGTGTGTAAGTCTCCAAGAAGATGAACATAACCCATGCCCCAATCTCTATCAATATAAATTTTATAACAAACCTCCCTACAATCACCATCACTAGGGAGAATGCCACCAACCAATTAAATAATCTGTGGTTATATTCCTTGATGAATAAAGATCTCGACTTTCCCATCATCTGTTTTTATCATTAAAATAATAAGTTATAAAGAAAAACATTATTAACATGGAATTATTGAAAGATATGATATGCTGCTAACCTTGACCATGCGTTGTTCGTATATGAATTTTGAGGGCCCCACACATTCTTTTTCAAAGCTTTGGTTGCAGTGAAGAAAGCCAGCATTGAATTTGGCCATTGATGGGAGTCTAAGGACTTGAAGTTGATCCATTTTGTCTTCACATGTTGTGTAAAGTGCTTCACATAATTTTGATGACTGATATTGGTTTGCCATCATGAAGTTTTTAAACATCTGCCAATAAATGTTACAAAAAAATTATTACAATTTACAACTATATGATATAATATATATATATATAGTTTTGTGACTCGTGTAAAAATAAAATTGTTACCTTTTCAATGTCTTCATCAAGCTGTTGGACAGATTTCTTTGCATGATGCCGACCAAAATGTTGTTCATCAAAAGATTTCAAAGCTTCTGATCTTGAAGCTCCATGAATGGATAATAGGGAATCCTCAGAAATGGGTAAAGACACTTTGCTCATGTTATCTTCATATAACTTCAAACATCTCTCCAATATTTTCTTGTTGAACACCTCCACAAGAGACCCTGTTGAGGGAATCTCCCCCTTGTTCAAAGCATCCAAAATCTGAAACCAAACAAACAATCAATTTTATATTTATTATTTATACGTTTTATTATCTAAATCATATAATAAAGAAAAAAAATCGGAGACAAAAAAGAAGCACCCTCTCTAGAAATGATACAAACTCGTTTCCATTAAGGGATTTTCCCTGAACAATTTTTGGGCGAATAACAGATTTAACAACTTCTTTTAATTCTTCTCTCCTTTTGACGTAATTTTGGTCAAGTTCCCCATCTTTCAAGTCACAAAGCTTTGTCCTTTGAAGATGTGGCTGATTGAAATGCGACATATACAAAATGTCAAAATTAATTAATTTTTTTTTTTTTTAATTTATATTAATGTATGTAAAGAAGTTACTTGTGGTAAGCTGAAAGCTGTGCTATTATCACCCATGATAGCTAAAGAGTCTCGAATCTGGTTCACCTATTTTAAGTTTTCAACACAACATAAATTTTCAGCATAAATAAGTGTTTTACAATTTACACTTTGTATAATTAATATCTGAATGATAAAACATCTGAAGAGTTAGTTGTACCTGAGCAATATTCTTGTCACCTGCAAAACAAGATGTGTTTCTAAGATTCCATAACAAATACAACATTTTTCCCATTTGAAAAGAACTTAATCCAAAATTACTTTTTTACCCTTTAGTAAACATTACAAAATATTATGAGTAGCATATATGAAGAAAGAAGAAGAAAGCTAACCCTCAGAGTTAGGAACATGTTGTAGAGCTTCATCCACCATTTCTTTTACAGACTTCCCCTCTGTTATAAAATATTTGAGATATGTAAAAAAAAAAAAGTTATGAATTTTTATATAAATGGAGTTGTAATAACTTACGTAAGAAATCACGTTGTATAAGCCACAGGAGTTTTGCAGGTTCAAATGCCACATCTTGCCCCTGTAATTATATCAAAAAGTCAAACCAAAACTTTGACCACACTTACTATCTTTAGTAATATAAACAAGAAAATATCCAAGTTGTTCAAAAGTTACCTTGACTCTGTAGATTCACAACCAAAAAAAAAAAAACAAACAGAAAACTAAAATCAGTTTTGGTCATGATATATGATTTTAAGTTTTTAACAATAAGATCATCGTTTTCAAATTTAAATGAAAACCAACCTTCCATAGAACTCTTCAGCAAGCTCAACAGCAAAAGACAATCGGGATATATCAGCTTCACGTATCTGAAATTTTTAAAAAAAAATAGCAACAGACTTACATTTCTTGTTTGAAAAAACTAATAAATAAATAAATAAAAGAAGCAGTTTTTAAAGATGAAACTAACTGTTTCAGGCAAATTGTAGATAAGCACTGAACTTAAAACCGTTGCCAGAGCAAATATCCTGAAGAAATGTGGATCAGAAAAGAAGATCCATTGATTATAAATTTATAATTTCATAATTTATAATGTATAAACAACAAGAAAAAGACAAACACCTGTCATCATAGACATTTGATTTCCCTATACTTTCAAATCCTTCTGTATCCAGATAAAAGACTGAGGTTTTAACTCCATCAATCTCCATTTCAACTGGTGTTCCCCATACCCATATTCCTAAAAAACCATAAATGAAATCTTACATTTATACTTGGACCAAAAAAATCATAAATACTAATAATTGTGGAAGTTCACTATTTCAGTTTGATTTGGCATATAGTTTACTAAAAAAGTCTATGACTAATAATCGAATAACAAAATGTCCACAATCTGTTTTCACAAATACATAAATTTGGAAAAAGAATGTATATACGAAAGAGAAATACGTTGTATTTTATTATTATTATAGAGTAAAGTAATTGAATACCTTTTGTTTTAGTGTCACGCATGTGGCCAACACCAAAACCTGCAAAGTATCAAACTTCAGGGCATAAAATTCTGTCAAACAAAATCAAATTATCTGTGGCATAAACTTGCAAAAAAAGATGATTATACCTTCATCACAAGAAAGTGATAGAAGCTGATTAAGCAGAAAAGATTTTCCAGATCGATATGGACCAATCACCTATTAAGATAGTGATAAAAGAATTTGTAGTTATGAATAACAAGAGGAACAATGACCATTTTGCATTTATTAGCCCTAAAAAAAATCTCACAAGCCACATCAATGGCTTTGAATATAAAGCTTACAGCAACTGCTGCAATAGGATTTGTTATTCTTCTAATAGCCTCTAGTCCTTCAGTAGAAAGACGAAGTTTTGTATGACCAGGATCAGGTTCTACAATAGGAAACCTGTAGAAGAAAAGAATGGTCATTACAAATGCTAAAGTAAAATATATAAACCTCCAACTTGAGCTCCAAAATTTAAGCTAACAATTTGCACTTTGACTTTGTGTGTCAACCCTAGCTAGAGCTATCACATGCAAAGTAGATATGAAATACATATATTGCTGATTAAACTCAAAACATTGTTCGATTTGCAGGGTTTTGATGTCGATAACTTTGTATATCGTTACCATTTATATCAAGAACAATTCAAAATCCATACGAATACGAAGCTTAAAAGTAACCATTTGGAGATCCAAAGTCAAAAGTAAATCTCATACGCATTGACCCACATCTCAATATTTTCATGCACTTTTCGATTCTCAAACTCTATAAAACAAATATAATAAAGACGCAATAGATTGGAGACCACTCACGCTTGATTGAAATCATCAATTGCAAACACCCGAGGAGGGGATAACCATAAGAAAATAAAAAAGGAAACGATCCACCACAAAGTCTTCGACATTGATCTGAACCAAATGAACGTGCTATCTTCCAAATGCCATATATGTAAATCTCGAAAGCGTTCCCCAAACAGGGCAAATCAATAACACATATACAGAACGTGTTCTGGACGTAATGAAGAGAGAAACCAGATAGGAGAAGGGATCTCAAAAATCTAATTGTGTGAAAGATTGCCAAAAGGGTTTCGTGTTTAGGGTGAAGTAAGATCTGGGTTTTTGGAAATGATGATGGGATTGCAGTAAAAGGGGAAGAATTTGTAAAAAATAAATAAATAAAAAAGGGACTTCGAAGTTTTTATTTCTTTCCTTTTTTTGAAACTCGAATTCAGACTGGAAGACAAAGGGGAAGAAATTGAGGGGAGTGACTTTGTTAATCTTGTCTAATGGTGAGGAGGTCACATGCTTTCCAAAGTCCAAATCCATATTACCGACCTTTTTGGATTTTGATTAGATGAAATGTTTGTGCGGATGTGCAAACTAATATTTAAATTTTAGAAAAAATATATATCAAAGTTTAGATATTATAAAAATTGTATGATTATGGTACACACAACGTGTATGATAAATCTAAGCATATATCAACATATTACTTGTAATACATAACTAGTAAGTGAATCCGTGGTGAACCACGGGTCGGTTTTTTTTGGGGTTTTCTATTTTGAAGTGGGTTTTGTTCTTAGGCCCATACAGTTAGTGTTGATGCTGGTAAATGTTCTATAAATTTTTTT